TTTCAAAGTCGTTGTCCCAGCAGACAGAGTGGTATGCGTTCGCCAACCCCTCCATTGGCGACTTTCGAAATTCATCCCGGTGGAGATGTGCGTGGATCAGCGTATCCCGCATCGAAGACGCCCAGGAGTCGAAGGAGCGGGTGGTGAGGATTATCGGGGTTGTAGGGTATGCTTCTGCAAGGGCGGTTGGGAAGAGGGAGGGGGGGAAGTCGGAGACTGCTTCGTACGGGGAGAGGAGGGCGTCCCATTGGGATTTTGACCAGGGGTTTGGGGGGTTGGAGATGGGGAGGTTGTTGGTTATGGCGGTGATCCAGAGGTCTTGGTGGGTGTTTTTGGCGACTTCGCGCATGTGGTATACGGGGGCGATTTTGAGGATTGCGAGGGCGTCGGCGAGGGCTGGAGAGTGTTAGAGGGGTTTTAGTCAACGGGGATGGTAGGGGAGAGGTACACTGTGTGCCTGTTCTGGGGAGACCCAGGATGAGAACTTTCATTTCAGACATGTTTGGCAAGTTGATCTTGTTGAGAGCGGACGAGACTACAATGATGTTGAGATGGGCGGGCACTCGTTTCGTGAATGAGCTGACCACAGCGATTTAAAGGAACTGAATACAACACTTCATTGCGGCTTCTGGGTTTGCAATAGTTTCTGCTGTCTGACCTCGATAAGAGGATCGTATGAGTCCGAGATGTTCCGCAAGGCAAGATCACGGGGCTGGCTTGGATAGGAAGCTGACTCGGAGCGGGTCGGATCGGAGATGCTCTGAGGATCCGGGGCCCGGTCAGGGTTCCACTTTTACGGGATTGCGGCCGGCGTCATTCCCGATTTTGTCCGCTGGCAGATTACGTCACTCGAAAGAAGAGCCTCTACTGCAGGAAACTTGAGAACTTCTGGGAAAAGGATGAAGTATGATCTCTGCCGAAAGAATAGGCAGTCTTGAGGGGACGGCAGGGCCACTCGGTGCTGGATGCTCGACTGGGTGCAGGGAACTTTGGCTTGTATAGAGCCTAGCATACGGATTGGAGTTCTTCGCGAAAGAAACAGCCGCCTGAGGATCCAGTGTAGTAAGCGTTGCCAGTGATTTAAGACGTGCGTAGACCAAGTGTTTAGGTCAATTCATTTGTTGATCTTCAGTGCCCCCCCCCGGGGGGGGGGGGGGCAGTATAAGTAGGTCCGTACGCAGTCTAGGAAGCGATAGAGCAGGCAACAAGCATTGCAAGCATCAACAGCCTGGATGGAGCCTGCTCACCCATTGCTGTGATGGGAATAATCTCGATTGGTCAGCCTGGCTGGTTTAAACAGTGAAACTAGCCAGCTAAGCCTTTACCAGTCGCCCGTCATCGTTGTCTCGGCACCATCGCTACCAGAGTATTCAACCCCTAATATGTTCGAGAAGTAGGGCAGTGTGGGTAGATCGGAAAGAGCTCTTATACCGGTCGTAAAGAGCGAAAAATACAGGAACAGCTTAGTACAGAGTGAGTTCAAATAGGCACATCTTTTCCACACCGAGTAATCCGAGATTTCAGTCCCAACGTCCCTCCGTCTGGTTGCTATCTCAAAGGTCTCTGTCGCCCCCTTTTATACTGTTAAATTCCTGCAATTGACCATGTCTTGAGAGTAAGAGATACCGATACCCAGACACCAAGTAACCAGAGGGCCATCAAATTCAATGCGAGTCACACGAAACGACTGCCATGACATCAATGAAGTGCTATACTTCCACCTCAACGTCAACTTGTAGTTGAGCTCATGTGTTCAGACATAAAGGGTGGCATCCAAATTGCGATCGGAACAAGTAAAGTGATGCTGGACAGTGCAGCTCAAGTGAATAAACACCAGTCAGTTGCGGTCTTCCACCCCAAGACAATTCCATGTCAGTCTGTCAAAGAAGCTCTAAGTTTAATTGAGATAGAAGAATTGGCATATTTTTATACTTAGGGCGGCTGAGACCTCCACGGGAGTTCAGTTTATTCTACAACATTTACCTACCAAAGTTACCCTGTACATCACAAAAGGGCAATATTAGGGATCTACTAATATTAGGGACCATTCATCTTCAAGTTCTTTCCAGTAGACTCTCCGAGCACGGATCTCAAACTAAGGGTTCGCCCCTCCATCAGCTAACTTTACCCCTTTCGTCATCCACTCATCGCGATTTGCCTTTCGGTCCTGCAGGCTGCGTTCATCTTTACTCACCAACACAAACTCTACCACCGAACTTCGCCCAATGCCGGAACACTCTGCAAAGTAAAATCCCCCAAGGGTCCGTCTGGAAGAGCACGAAGTCTTTCTCAACTGGAGTGGGCATAGGTTGGAATTTGGAGTTTGTCGATTGACGGGTTAAGTTCCCTGTGTGACAGGTCCTTTCCACGCCATCGACATGGCGTTAGACTAGATCACCTTATCTTTGCAAAGCGCGACTGGAAACATTCCAATATTGCATCGCTGTAGGACCATTACCGAAGTACATCTTATATTATCAAAAAGAAGGAAAAGGCCTTGTGGTGATCTGGGGGCTTGGCTGCTTATATCTACTCATTGCTTCCATTCGCTAACAGCCACACCGATCACCCATTCCGTGGAGCAATGTACCGAGGCATACTATGCCACTGATGAATGTGTAATAAATCAGTTCCTTTTCAATCAGAAAGTATCGGAGAATAAGCTTATTCGATGAAGAGCGAATCGCATTCGAAATGTGTGTCGTGAGGTCAAAGCAGATGACCCGTCACCTACCTATGTCTTCAACCTTCTCCACAATGGAAGCCACAAATAATAGTTTCATTCCACGAAAACCATCTGCCGAATACCCTAGAACTCCGCTCGTACCTCTGGAGAAGTGTTCGACTTCAAAGCGCGATGGGGATTTGTTGATATCAGGGCTACTTGTTTGGACGTCTGATCTGGTCAGTGAGAAGACAAGCTCCGAATATCCATTCTGGGCAATACTCGGCCTAAGAAAAAGTCAAGAGGACAAGAGAATCAGCAGAACTTTCTTGATCAGGCAAGAAGATTGTGAGATGATGCAGCTCAGAAACTCCCCTGCAGAGTCAAACATTTTGGGCAAATGGGGACCGGACTACCAAGGGTCCGGACCTTTGAGACCATGAGCTATACCGGACTGTTAGGACAGTGGTCTTTCAGACCGAGAAGGTTCTGGTGGAATCGGATGTGACGAATCCGCGGTCCAAGCCAACCAGCCTCGGTGATTCGCCATTCTTAGCCCAGGCTCGTGAACCAGCCAACTTGGGGGCACAGCGCTCCGCTGTATCCTGTTTGAAAACATCGGACATCGAACGAGGGCTGGGCATCGAGTGAGAGGTGCCAGCTACCTCGCACGCATCCCCTCCCGCTCCGAAGACCACCTGGTGGTCCACGATCACTTGGCCCCCTGGCATCCACAAATCTTGTTGCCATCCGACGAACTGACCTGGGGGAAGGACCAGTTGATGCCACCACCATGACAATGACAGATTCAGTCATTCATGTCCATGTCGGGATAACCCATCCTCAGCCACCCCCGTCCCAGAAACAAATTTGGTGACAGGGTTGCAGCTTCAGAGTCCTAGCCAGGCGCGGCTATGCGCCTGGCACGGACCTCTGCAGAGGAAACCTGCGGCGAAGTGACATATGGCAGACATTTGTCAACTGTGTCACTGTCTCGGATGGGGCACAGGATGCTGAGTCGAATCCGAATGCGCGGCTTTTGATTGCTTGGCACTGGCCGGGATCGTTGACACAGTTATTGGGACATTGGGCGCTAAGACGTCGTGGAGGCTCTCATCGAGACGTGAACGCACGATGACACTCAGTGCTGCACTAGCGGCTGCCAAACAGGAGACAAAGTGTCTCTGTAAGATGCCTGTCTAGCGCTACTCCGCCTTGCTAGGCACTAGAGGCAATTGACACACATAACGCTAACATGTTATGTGCAGGCGGAACACCCCGAGGTGCTGCTGCGTGCTAGCCTTCCCGCACCAGTTACCTGAAGTTCTGCAGGAGTGAAGTCAACTCAGTCTGCGCCACTGATTAGTCTGCTGAATACTTGAACCATTAAGTAAGCTTATTGCGTTAGTTTGGAGAGAATATGCGGGCCGAGAGGTGCGACAGTGTGCAGTACGTTTGCCAAGACCACGAGCCCGATATCGAAACCCAGGCTCTCAGTGTTACCTCGGAGCCATCATAGCTGTCGAGCAGAGACATTTGACACGATATCTTGACAAATTTAAGGAAAAGAAAGTAATAATTTGTGCCATCTGAAATGCCTCGGTAGGTATCGCAGCTTGCCGCGATCGCAGTGTGGTCTAGGCGGTGGGATTCATGAACGCACACACCATGGGAAATGAACAGCACCGCTGCCGGAGGATGAAAATAGAAGGGATCACCTTTTTCTGGTTCAGGGTCGCCATGCAGACTGAATGTAAAAGCCCACCACTTTTTGCCCGGGTCGAGAGACTGACGCTTCCAGTGGGGGTCCGTGAATCCACATTTCGTTTCGTCTGACCGTGAAAGCCGTGATCTTTGGTCGTCGACCGAACCACGCTGCATGGCGTGCCGTCTGCGCGCGTTTCAAGGGTCCATCCTCGGCCGTGACTACACTCAGCCGGATGAGGCTTCCGCGGCGCCAATTGCAACAGCTTAGGCAAGTACTGACAGATTCTGACGATGGTTACTGTGAGAGAAGTCGGTTTTGCGTACCGCAAGTCTAGGTACTGAGGATACAGGCTGATGAGCCGTATGGTATTCGATGCTTCTTGGGCTGAGACTGCAATGGCTCGGATGAAGTGTCGGTGACGGGAATGCAAAGACCAAGTTGACTCGTCGTCAATGTCCAGAAGCTGGTATATTAAGACGGTGGATTTCCATGTCTAGGTCAGGTTTTCCTTCCATCTCATCAGCATCTAGAATTCTCAGCTTACAACGATATTCCAACACTTTCCTAAATAACTTTCATCCTTCGCGTCAATCAAATCAAGCCTTCGCTTACCGAATACCAATCAAAATGCACTTCACCAACGTCTTCGTCCAGGCCCTGCTTGCCGGCTCCGCCGTTGCAGCTCCCGCTTCTCTCGCCAGCAAGCGTCAACTTCAGCCCATCCAGGCTGCCTTGACCAACGTCCAGGACTCTCTCACCGGGCTCGACACCGCTGTCAAGGTACGAGAAGATGACTCGAACATGATTCAGTGACCGAAGCTAACCCGCTCTTGCGTAGGCTCTCAACGCCGCGGATCCCAACACCGCCGCCAACCTGCTTGATGCTTCCAACAAGGTCCAGACCTCGCTGAAGCAAGGTACCACGCAGATTCAGGGTGCCCAGGAGCTTTCCCTCACCGATGCCCTCACCCTCCAGCAGTCAGCCGGTGGCTTGACCACCGCTGTCCAGACCTCTGTTGATGACTTGGTCGCCAAGAAGCCGGAGCTTGACAAGCTTGGCGCCACTTCCATTGCCGTTGACCAGCTCAAGCAACAGAAGGCGACTGCCGGTGACTTCAGCAGTGCCATCGTTTCCAAGGTCCCCGCGATCGGCCAGGGTATTGCTCAGCAGTCTGTTGACCAGGTTACTCAGTCCCTGGACGGTGGTATTCAGAAGCTCGGCGGTGATGCCGCCGGTGGTGCCGCCGGTGGTGCCGCGCCTGTTGCCCCCGCTGCGCCTGCCGCTCCCGCCGCCCCTGCTGGCGCACAAGAGCAATTCCACGCTGAGGTCATGGCCTAAGCTGCGATGGTACAGGATCCAACCATGGAGATCTGATGATTATATGAAGATTTTTAGCGAGTTTCCTTTTGTGTAGTGTATTGATAGGTGAAGACAGAATGGTTAGCTGAGCTGCCGGAGCAGCTGCGCTGCATAGTGTGTACTGTTCAATTGAAGCCGATTTCTCACATTGGTTTTGCCTTTTTAGAGGGAACCTTAAGATTTGACTCTGGCCAAGGGTCTTTGACAGATCCCATCACCCTTCGTCTGGTGCCAGTGCCTGCTAGAAAGTGGCAGTGAAGATCACTCAGACTCGCTCAAGGCACCCAACATTCGGAAGTATTGGTCTGAGCTAAATGAGTTGCTGATCGGACCTTTTCGAGAATGAAATCTTCGAACACGGTCCATGTCAAAGACGATTTCCACCATCAACGCGGCTGTCATTGACAATGAAAAATTAGGGTTGATCGGTATTACTGTCCTGATCGTTACCAATATATTTCCAACAAGGCTTGCAGAACTAGGTGGGAAGTTTTCGTTGAGTTGCATAGCGACATCGAGGCCATCCTGTTTGTTCCAATTAGGTAATATGCGGCATGCTCGAGGCCAGTCTTGCAAGGCGCCTTCGTTGTCCAGTGCCGCTTCGAGATAGATACCGATGTAACTGCCATCGTCACCCCCAGAATCCGTTACTCCGAAGATAAGCAGGCTACGACCCTTTCCATCAGTAATTCCCTGGTCAAGCATGGCCATCAGACTCGTATGTTCATGCAGTGCCTCGGGGGGATCTACTGCGTGAAGACGATAGCCGGAAAAGCCACGCGGGAATGTGATGAAGCAAGAGACCTTGTTGAACGTTCCTTCTGTTTGCTTGAGAGGCTTAAAAACGCGTCTCCAAAGGCCTTCTCGGTCCGCCTCGTCAAGCATGGAGATCATGATATTCGTTGATTCTTCGGGTGTGAATTCTGAAGACAAATCATCAGGAGGCGAGGCGTTTCCTTCATGCCATTGGAGAAGGGACTTCATCGAAGCCGAACTGAGCGATATCCACGGTGCAGGCAGAGATACGCGAGTAAACTGGCGCCGGTAATCATTATTGTGAGATGACAAAGGTATGCAAACGGCGCTCCTAGCATGCTCCTCAATGTTCGTGGTGCAGTTCAAAACGCCCAGAACGAAGTCAGGCGACAATGTCTGGATCAGGGGCAAAGATATTGAAAGACCGGCATTGGTCATTGCGTAAAATGGCGGCGTCATTGCCATTGGCGCTGTCAGACGGGACCAGCGGATGATATCTGTTGACTTAGAGAAGAGCGAAGGTGACGTAGCCAAGGGTGCCGTCATGAGTAGGCTCGGCATATCGGAGACGAAAATGCTCTGGTCATCGGAGAGCCTGATTATCTCCTGCTGCAGCCTCAAGAAAGCCTTGATGCCCTCTCCGTAGAGAAGAGGCATATGAACATCACAGAGACCGAGGAGACAGTATGCTTGGTCTTCTAGGCGAGTTGTGACACGGCGAGCAGCCCAAGACATGATTTTGGCAATACTGTAATTGGAAGGGGATGATTTGCCTAAAAGACACCATTTGTCAATTCCAGTTGCTCGATGAATTACGTCAAGCAAACTTGGTTTTGTTCCAATAAGTGTCCAATCATGAGTGTAAAAGTTGATGCGGCGGGGGGCAATAAGCTCCTGCAAAGTCCAGCCACGAGTAAACCATTTGCTGTTTAGAAACTGGATCTCCAGGTCGCGCTGATCAATGGTCCTGCTTGAGATTGACACGTCGGCCATATAAACGTAACAAAACGCTGCTTCTCGGTACCAGGCAAACATAGAGTTGATAGCTTCCGACAACTCGGCGGAGCTGCGCTTGTCGATGCAGTTGGTGTCTACCCAAGCATGGGTGTATCCGTCCTGCGAGGCTAGCTGGCAGAACGATGCGATCTTGAGAAAGCCCTTCTTTTCTTTCCTAGTCTCAAGGTGGTTCCATTCTTGGAACGATACTTCTCCGTCCTCCCAGGTGTGGGAAAGAATGGCATACGGTGGGGTGCGAGCACGGTCAAAAAACTCCTCGAGCTCCAATGTCGCCGTGTTGATCAGACGCATGATGGGCTAGATTGGGAGCATTCATAAGAGCAGCTCACATCTAGATAACGAGAAGGCCACCATGAGATCCACGGTGAGAAGGTGAGGTGTCAGAAGTGAGGTGTGTTTGGGATGAGGGGTATCCCAGGCATCCATCAATTGGGAGAGCCTGATCACTTAGAACTTAGAAGCTAGGGTGAGATGACTAAGCGGCAAGAACATGTTTATCTTATCTTTTGGAAAGTCCTTACCTTCTATTTGGGCAGCGCTTTCATCGCATGATGCCAATTGTACTCGAAGGAAACATCAGCCAACGTCCCTTTCCGCGTGTTGACGGCCACCTCCGCTGTGAATCGGGCAAGTTCCCAAGATTAACCTTCCAGAGCCGGTACGACCGACCTGATTGTGTCTGAAATGCTCTCACGTGCCTACGTTGGACGAACATGGAAGCTTCTCAGTTTTGCCACAGGGTTCATTCTGACATCATCCCTGAATCCCCGGCGGAGCCTCTGCTCCTAGGCCTCCCAAATGTCACCACCCGACATCTCTCGTCCAACAGATGAAGCCTTACATCCTTCTATCTACCTTTGTTAGTAGTGGATCCTCGTCAGTTAGCCTGTACGATCAGTATGGCTTTCCGTTGGAAGTCCCGGAAAGTCATGATCGTCTCCCTCTGGGGTCTTGGCGACGTGATGTCTTGCTACCTGTTTTGATTTACTGCTTGACTATCCTCATGGAATCTATTGTGGCCATCTTTTCTTCGCAAAATCTTTCTTCACAGGCGTTGCATTCTGTTTCCGTTTAGTAGATGTCTACGATCTCACTGGCTTCTGACAATGATGGACAAGAAAGCCGCTCCTTGGGCCGACAGCCCCCCTGATCCGAGGCATCCGCGCGCCCGTGATGCCAACGTTGAACATCACCATGCTCATCAGTATGACCCTACAGCATTTGGTCGTCATAGTCTACAGATCAGTCAGGCTTCACAGCCTGCTTCGGAGTTTCAGCCTGAAGGTCAACGACAGTATGGGATCGTTCCTAGCACAAGAGATGGAGACGTGCTTGATGAGAAGAGGTCACAACCACAGAATCCGCCAGACATCGACACATCCCGCCGCCCGGCCTCAGCACCACACAACCAACCCTCATCCCCACGATCTCCAACGAAACACACCACCAGACCAAGCCATGACTTTGACCGTCGCTACGACGGCCCCTTCAGCCGGCCAAGCCTCGCCATGACCCGGCGAAGCTCGCTCTCAGCCACACGGCCGTCAACGGACCCAAACACACCCCACGCCGGCGAAGCCCCCGGCACGGCCGGTGATCCTCCCCGAACCCTCCCGGCCTTCCATCCAACTCCCCCACCACTAAACTACACTCTCCGCACCCGAAAGACAGCAATCGCTTTGTTCTGGACCCTCATCCTCTTCGACTCCATCGCCATGCCGATAGCCCTGTACTTTGGCCTTTGGTACGGGGTTGGCCCGGGGACCAACACCCCCACGGAAAAGAAGGAGAAACTCTCTCCCAACGCCGTCTTCTCCATTGTCACCGCTGCCGTGGGTGGCGCCAGCATTGTAGAGTACTTTTTGCGCTTCTGGCGACTTTGGCGCAAGGGAAGTAAGTGTCGTGTCATCGGGGCGCATAGGTGGTACCTCGACTGGTTTCATTGGAACTTTTCGTTGGCGTGGATAATCATCATGATTGAACTCATCGTGTAAGTGTCCACCCCCCTCGCATCAATCTCATAGTTACCTCAAGTCACACATTATTGACACCATCCAAGAGGCACCGTCCCAAGAAACCCCCCAATCCGCCTCCTCTCCATGCCCGTCCCAACAATGCTCCTCGTCTTCGGCACCCAACTCCTCCTAATCGACGCCCTCCGCGCCCTCCACATCCCCTCCCCTCTCCGCATCTCCTCCGTGCCCCGCAGAGCCCAGCTCCGACCAGGCATCTACTCCCTCATCGAAGACGTCTGCGCCGTCGACGGGTCCGGCGGCACGGACTTCCGCGTCGCGCTCGATAGGCGGTACGAGGCGAGCCACGGCTTTCGCGCGATGCTGAGGCGGTTGGGTGTGTTTTGGGCTGTTGGCGCTGAGGGCTGTGCTGTGCTTTGTACGGCGCTGATTTTCGGTTTAAGGAGCGGGGAGGCTGCGTATGTTGTTGGGTGGTCGGTGCCGTTTGTGTGGGCTGGTGTCTGGACGGTTGCGACGTTTTGGTATGTGAAGAGAGAGTTGAGGCGAGAGGCAGAGGCTTGGAGTGAGGAGGTCGCAAGGAAGGGGGTCGCAGGGTCCATGTCCATGGCGTCGGTTTGAAAGGACTCAGGTTTACGTAGACATGTAATGAGGTACCACAGATCACGTACACGAAGAGTGACAAATTACAGATGCTTGGAGATTTATCTTGATATTTTTGCTCTCGTCCATGTCTATGCTTCCGTGGGGACCTCCCCTCATCAACCCAAAACGCCTCGTTCACGACCAAAGTCCTCTGAGACGCCGTTTTCTTCCCCTCCCAGCAATACATACATGCAAAGGTCTATTCCTCGAGACCATCTCGAAAGAGAACCATATAATACAGAAAAGGAAAGCAATCGTCCAATTACACAAGGTGCCGCCCTTCTACACACAGCTTACCGCTTCCGCGTGTCGCGACCCTTCTTTTTACTCTTCTTCTTGTCCTTAGGCAGGTCTAGCGCCGTGCCCTTGAGCTGCTCCGCCATCGTCCGGAGCATGTACTCGTCCACATTATATATTCTCTGGCCCCACGCGTTATGTTCAATCTCTACCGCTTCATCCGGTGCGACGGACTCTGAGAACCGGCCTAGCCCAGAGGGTCCCGGGCCGCCGCCTGACTGACCGGCGACATCCTCCCGCGGCGTGCCTTGGCGGGTACTGGAGGCGCCAGAAGGTGCGCCGCTCTTTTCGTTG